CAGCCATGGTCTAAAAATGTGTTAGTTTTAAATGAATAAGTTTTTATATCAGATTTTGTTCATCAGTAGAAATGTAGCTCGCTGCTCTACAAAGCTGTAAAACAAACAACGGTACAAACTTTAATTCTAATCTGTCGAGTCCAGGCTGGTGAAAAAAGTCAGGAATAATATTTAACAGATTTGATCATTGACAAAATTAACAGTACTGACACATTTTTCACTCTTTCTAATTTGAACACATTTGTTGGAATGCAGACTTGTTACAGCAAGAGTTCAGGAACTGAGCGTGTCTTTTAATTTTAATCCCCGAATTAACCTTCTGTCTGTGTGTTCATGTCTTAAACATGAACAGATTCATATGTTACATCACATGTTACATTTTAATTACAATATTTTTTATGCATATGTTGCCTGTGTTCCATCTGAGAAGGCCAGTGTTACTTAAATAACTTTTAAACTTACATTGTGTCACAATATCTCATCCACCCAGCAGGATCTGACCTGTCCCAGTTTAAAACATTAGAAGGCATTACACTTCATACAGATGGTCACAATTATACAGCAGCACTTCAGGTGTTTTACCCTTTCACTACAGTGGGTGTAACATGGAGGGCTGCCAGACAAAACAGATGTTTGCCAGTGGTTAATGTTCAGAACAGTCCTGTTTTAGTGTGGGTGTCACTGCAGCTGTAGTGTGCAACACAAACCCTTTAAATCTACATTATTGTATAGTATGCACATTTGAATTAGCAAGTCTTAAATTTATTGACAAATGTTGCTTTCCATTGTTGTCCATCATTGCTTTTTATTGTCATTCTTGTACATGTTAGGATGCTGAAATTTTTAGTTTTAGGGATCAATGCAAATACCGTATTGTCCGGCATATAAGTCACAGTTTTTTGCATAAATTAGCATGTACAGCGAAGCAACATGTTTGTTTTTTTCCCCATATTTATAACCCAATTTTTGGCTGAGATCTGACGATTTCAGTCATTCTGACATGGAAAATATTGAACACTACCATTTTCAGCCACTAGAGGGCCATCGACTAATATGGCAAGTGTCTCATTAATAGGTAAAGTGTCTATTAATGAGACACTTGGATTGCCATATCAAGCCACCTTCTTCTCGCTCTGGAACTCCTGGAGCAAAGGTCAAATCAGCTGCATTTCGCCGCGCCGCCCAGGTGCAATGCAGCTGATTTGACCATTAAAGTGCATTTATTAAGGAAAATTTAAACTGAGACATACCTTTACTTCAATTTCGAGCTAACAAATAATTGGTTTTAGGTGGTTATCTTGTTAAATTTTGACGAAATGCACAACGAGTCATCCCTTTGCATGCTCCCGCAGCCGCGTATCGGCTTTTGAAATGCAGCCGATTTGACCGTCAAAGTGCATTTATTAAGGAAAAGTTAGACTGAGACACACATTTACTATAATTTCAAGCAAACAAATCAATCTTTTTAAGTGTTAATCTTGTTAAATTCTTGTTAAAGTCCTCCCGTGCTTGCTCACGCGATCGCCATTTGGCAGCCAAGCGATTTTTGGCACAACACCGGCCCACATTTCCAGGTTCAGCCCACATTTCCGGGTCGTCAGCGGTGACGCATAATAAATGCGACTTATACGGCGAAGCGACATTTTTTCATTTTCATTTAGCCTTTATTTATACAGGTTAGTCTCATTGAGCCACGAGAACTCATTTTCAAGAGAGACCTGTTTTAGGGAGCACATGGTGGGGGTTAAGGGGCCTTGCTCATGGGCCCAGAGTGGGGCGAATGAGGGTGGGGGCATATTTGTTTTTTTCCACTTTCTTAGACATAGTTGGACTGATGTGACCTATATGGCGGTGCGACGTGTACGACAGAAAATACTGTAGTCGGTATGAAATCAGAGACAGTTCTTGCTTTGCTGCATCTGTGCAACCTGTTTGTGTGCTCACGCTCATAGTTCAGCTGCACCAAGACATTCTGCTCAGGCAGTCTACAGTTTTCATTAGAGCTACAGGAGGCAATGATGCTCTGATTTATTAACAGTCTATTCCAAAGACCTAAATGCAAAACAAGGTTCAAGTGATTTCTCACTTTGAATTTGATGCAGTTTTCTTTTTCTTGTGGTCCTGGAATGTTGAATTGTCCAAATGTTGACAGCAACAAGTCTCAAACAGTATCCGAGCAAAAGAAGTTGGTGTTTTTGTTCTTTATTTAAACTTTTTACTTTTACTTTGGCCCCACAGTTTTTGTCTGTTACATCTTTGGCACTTCAAATTTAGCTGGAAAAGCATAAAATCTTGGCGGCTCCTGCTTGTCTAGTGGGGGTTGGCGGACATTGCCGCACAAGTAAAGACGATAAAATTTACATCACAAGCAGAATATCTGCAAAAAGACAAATAAGTGTTTGCACCATAAGACTTATCACTGTCGTGAATGGCTAGAAGTCAAATACTGATATCTACAGCTTACTTTTAAAATTATTCTTCCTGAGCCTCCTTTAAGGACTCCAGGCATTGAAAAGGTATCTGACATGAACATCACACTTTTGTCTAACAGCTGTGGGAAAGAAAAAGTCTTACTAATACTGTATCTTAGCTTTCTTTAAAACAGTCAGGGGAGCAGTGGTAAGACTGCTTTAGTTGCAGAGTCTGATGAGTAAAAGTCCTTGTAAAAGGAGGTACACTTCCTACTTTGTGTACTCTGTGGATATGGTCGCTGACCTCATGTGTGGGACCAAAGAAAAGCAACAATACCAGTCACTTTTTCTACATACTTATCAAAGTGACAAAACTTCATGTGTTATGGAGCCATGTATGGAGGTAAACTTGTCTCAAAAGTACTATCAAATGCGTCCAAGATTTGTCTGCACGCCACAAGGTTGACAAATGTGAAGCTGTTCAAGGCTGGTGAAAATCAGACATGGATCACTTCTGTTCTATAATATCACAGATAACTCATTCAACCTTTATTTATACAGATTAGTCTCATTGAGTCTCGAGGACTCATTTATAAGAGAGACCTGTTTTTAACAAAGAATGATGACAACAGTAGACAATCATAAAATAAAGCATATAAATTGAAAAAAATAGAAGAAAATTATGTTAAAAAATGCAACAAAAACAGCTACATTATAAAGCAATATAAAATACTTAAAAGCAGGAACGTGCCTGCGTTGGTTTTTGCCCATAACTTAACAGATTCTTAAAGCCACTTAGAGAGGTCAAGATCGAGAGCTTCAGATCTTTTTGCAAGATATTCCAGGAAACAGGAGCAGAGTAGGAGAAGGCCCTTTTGCCTAGTTTAGTCCTCACTGAGGGAACACTGCAGGTAATAATGTCCTGAGAGCGCACGCTGTAGCTGCACTCACGCAGAGACATGTAGGAGGAGATGTATGAAGGCAGCAGACCAAGAAGTGATTTAAAGATGAAAATGTACCAGTGGGAGAGTCTGTGTGAAGTTAATGACCATTTAACCAGTGAATACAGGGTGCAGTGGTGGGTACGATAATCACAGCCAGTTATGAATCTTAGTGCACCATGATAGACAGCATCCAACATCTGCAGGGTTCTTGTAGGAGCGTTCATGTAAATAATATCACCGTAATCAATGGAGGGAAGGATAGTCACAGATACAAGGTGTTTCCTAGCGTTCAGAGTTAGACAGTATCTGTTTCTGAAAAAGAAACCCAGTTTAACTTTCAGTTTCTTTACCAAGTGTTCGACGTGGAGCTTAAAAGAGAGATGCGAAGCGACCAAGATATCCAAGTAGTTTCAAGAATCGACTAACGCAATAGGGGCACCATTTGAGGGTAAAATCAAAGGAAGAACTGCTGGGACAGACTTCCTGTATGAAAACAGGATTCTTTTTGTTTCCCTCTCGACATAATGAATCACATCTATCAGTTTAATCCCACCAGAATCAGTTGTCTTAATTATGTTTACTTGCATGCTTAGATTAGCATGTGGATTACATAAAGATAGCCCCCCCCCCCCCCCAATTGTGTCCACCAGTAGAGGCTTGAGTTCTGCTGTTCTCAACCCCCTTTTGTAGTTTTTCCTGAAAAATAGCCAACCTATTTTGTGTAGTTAATTTCAGCTGTACAGTCCAGAAAGTTGACATTTTTGGAACTCAGTGATTCCTTGTAAGTAAAATGTGTTTTGATGCGTGTCAAGTCAGAAATGTGTCATTTCACTAAATCTGATCCCAAATAAATCCCATATGTCCCAGCTTTTTACCAGCCTTGAACACAGCATTACTGTACTTTAGTGAATCTGCAGCAGTAAGAAAGTCTCAAAACAGCAGCATTCACAGCAGGCAATTGAATCGTGCATTTGACAGTTTGTATGTGCAGTTTGTTGTTGCACGTTACATCAGTAGTGCAATTGATTGAGTCTCTATAAAAGATGGATTAAGTTGGGATTTATAATAATCTCTTTGAAAGTGTCATTGTCAATTATTTAAAAATACATTTAATGTGGCATTAACATGTTTGCAATGTTTTCAGTTATATTGTGCCGACATACCAGGTGTATTTGCCGGCTTATTTGAGGGCTAAGACATTCTTGTTTGGTTTATACTCATCATATTTTCTTTGGACACTGTTCATAAGTTTTTACTGCAATATGCATCAGTGTGTGTTTGTGTTTGTGGCATTGTCTGATAGCAGAAGGAGAGGAGTTTACAAGCCTTCTGTGGCATGAAGTTTATGATCGTTCCAGTAAGCAGATTGTTGGCAAGACCATGAAATATGAGTGCCATGCATAATGAGACTTGTGTTCCTACAGTTGTGAGGTATTTGGATAAATGCAAACACCCTAGGTATAAATGCTTGGCTATGGTAATAAATTGAAAGAATAATTAATGTCCCCCCCATTATATCTTGCATATCTATTACTTTCCTTCTGCTCTCCATTTTTTATTCTTTGCTACTAACCCTACTTTATGTATCTCTCTCTTTCTCCCCATTGAATTACTGCTTCAATAACGTCCTTTCAATGGATGAAGACGGTACCGCTGGCTAACAGTATGGACCTGCTGCATCTGGGCATGTTCTACAACCCCTACATCTGGTGGGTAGCAACTGCTTAATTAAATATAGTTTTAATGTCAGAAGAAGAGACTTGTTATAGACTTGATATATATATATATATATATATATATATATATATATATATATATATA